GCCCTGACTTCCTTTGATGACTAACAGCGATATGGCAGTGTAGGCAATAAACCCTTTCCTCCCCAGGTTGCTTTGTGGAGTGTTTTACCACAGCAAAAGTAACACCAAGACAGTCCATATATAAGGAAGAACATAAAGTTTCGTTGTTTGTTTTGTTTTATTCTGTTTTCGAGACAGGGTCTCTCTATGTAGTCCTGGCCATTATAGACCAGGCTGGTTTCAAAGACCACTTGCCTCTGCCTCCTGAGTGCTGACATTAAAGGTGTGTGCTGATAGCCCTTGAGGGAAGTGCTTGTTTTTATTGCTCTGGTTACCTTACTGAAGATATTTTTCCAATTTCATGCATTAACTTGAAAATTCAATCAAATTGTATCTTGTATGTGTCATATTTTCATTATCCATTCATCAGTTGATGACTTCTAGGTTGCTTCTGTTTCCTAGATATTATGAGAAAGTGGGCAATAACACAGGATTTCATGTAGCTAAGGCTATTCTCAAACTTGCTACAGAGCTGAGGTTGACCGTGGACAAACCGCCATCCCAGGACCGCACCACTGTACCAACATGTACTCTTGAATCAAATATATATATATTTGATTATATATATATATATTATATATATATATATTTAATTTGTTATTGGGCAATATAAGATCATGCCACATGTTATTATACAAGAAATTAATCTGAAGATTCATTTAAAACAAGGCTAAGATATTTTCAGGTACTAAAGATAAACTTCTTGAATTCAGAGATTGCCTGCCTTTTGTCTCCTGAGCACTGGAATTAAAGGCATTCACCACCACATGAGGCCTACTTTTTTTATTTTTGAAACAATTTCCAGTGAGCATCTGTGTCTGTACTAATCATTGCTTTCAAAAGCATGTTAATTGAATGTCTAAGGGTGGTTTCTAAAATAGTTTTAAAATGAGCTCCCTGAGGAGAGACAGCTCAGGGGTTAAGAGTACTGACTGCTCTTCCAGGGGACCCAGGTTTGCATCCTAGCGACCACACGGCTCACAGACCTTCTGTAACTCCAGTCTCAAGGGATTTGACAGCCCTCCTGGTCTCTGTGGGCACCAGGCACACTGACATGCAGGAGGGCAAAACACCCATACACAAAAACCAAAACAAGCTCCCCAAAAGTTCTCTTAGGAGAAGTTCTAAATGTACAGAATTTTCTGAATGTGTGGTTCCTCCTGCAAAGGAAAAGGGGAAGGAGGAAGGAGGAGGAGTAAGCATTTCCTGGAATGAAGTCCCTGCAGTGGTCTCTTCCTGCATTCACTGGAGCAAGTTCTGACTCGAACAAGGAGCTAGAACTTGTCTCTCTGTCCTGCTTCCTCCAAGTCTAGCCAGGTTTCCAGCCAGTAGTAAGCACTCTCTGAATACTTGGCAAGTGAAAGAAGACAGGAAAATACAGACATATAGCAAGCATAAGAGAGGAAAGAATTATATCTGGATGTTTTTAGCTGTTGGTTACTGAACATTGACCACAGTGGCTTAAACAATAAGATCTTTTTTTAAAGTTTATGTCAGATGATATAAAGTTCAGAGTCAGGGCAGTTCCAAGCTGAACAACATCATGGAGGACGCAGATGTTTTTCATTTTTGAACTCAGCCATTCTCAAAATATTGATGTCTTTCACAAGACGGGGGTGGGCACTCCAGATGTCATTTGCAGGCATGATGATGCCCAAGAAGAACGGTGGGGCTTCCTGCTGTGGATCTCAGTGCACTGCAGAAAAATCCCTTACAGAGTTTCTAGCAGACTTCTACTCTGGACTCTCAAGCCCATGCCCTTACTGACAAATATTGCTGGGCAAGTAACCACAATGGTCACTAGCCCGATGCCCCAGAGAAAGCTGTGAGAAAAGGAAAGATAAAGTATTGAAAAGAGTGTGTCAAAGGCAGGCTGTTCACATATGGGACAGGGGCATTCCTAGGCTGTGTCCTCCCCTGTGGCAGCAGAGCAGCTAATAAGAGACTGAGCGTGTGAAGGTCAGAGGCCAATACTGTTCCTAAGGAACACTATGTGATTCAAGTGCAGATCACAGCACCACGGGACCATATACATTTGCTGATGTAAAGGTCGTGAGAATTCCAAGTATGAAGTGGCTGGGTTTAGAGCAGGAAACTTGATCATCTTGCAAATCTTTTTCCTAGGGATATTCCCAGTCTCCCCACAGTTAACAGCTCTGGTTTGCAGAGGTGGTGAGGGGCAGAGGGGGGAGCCAGGTGGCATTTCAGGACAATCTACTGATGGTTCAACATTCGGGTGAAGGAGCATGTGTTACTCCAACAACCAGTCAATGACAAAGTATCTACGTAATACATACGTACGTAAAATAGGTGTTTTGTAGAAAGAACCTTGAGGTTTTGTTGTTAATGGCTTATTTATTTAGCTGGGGATGCTTTAATATTTCCATTAAAGAGTTGAAGTTCACTGCATACTCTTTACTTCTAGAAACTGTATGAAAACACAGAAGTAAATTAATCTTTCTACTTTCTTTAGATAAATGTTTGGCCCATTGCCTTAGTTTCTTTTCTGTTGCTGTGAAAAATACTGTGAGGGAGAAAGGATTTATTTGATCACAATTCAGGGTCTCAGCCCATAACGGCAGGAAAGGCAGTAACCCGAGAGGCCTGGCCATACTACATCCCCGGTCCGAGCAGAGAGGAATGTGGGACGTCATCTGTGCTGCTATCAGTCTGCCATCTCAGTTGTATGGAGCCCAGGATGCCCCTGCTCAGGGGATGGGATTGTCCACAATGAAGCTAGTCTGCCCACATCATTCATCAAGACAAGACTCCTCAGACATTCTGAGGCTCAACCTCATCCAAACAGCGCGTTACAGGAGCCCCGAGGTCTGCCCTGGGGGCCAAGCCGCCAGCAGTCACCATCCCACCCACTGTGTTCCAGTGGGCACGTATGAATTGATATTACCATGTAACACCTGTAATGAAGCTTTGGTTTCTTTGTAAGCTCAGTCGTGCTATGTACACATGTTTTCGTTTTAATCTCAAATGTGGGATCTTGTTTTGGGCTTTAGTGTGTCCACAACTGATAACTGTCTTCTGTCAGGTGTGGCCTTTGCCAGCAGGTAATCGCCTGCCTCATGCAGCATGGAGAGGGGTGTGGTCTAGGACTCTGAGGGATATAAATATGGGTGCTCAGAAAGAGAAAGTGTGGCAAGGAGTATTGACATGTGGCTTGTAGCAGTTTGGAGTGACCAGAGATGGACAGTGTGGCAGACAGAGAAACATTTCAACACAGCGGCTCAGAGGAGACTGCTGGCTGCATTTGCCATTGATGGAGACTGTTATAGCCCCAGGAGGACCCATGTACCCTAAACAGCCTGGAGAAGTAATGGGTCTGTGCCCCATCTCCCCACTAACCTTCTCTCTCCTACCTAGGGTTGGGAGGTTGGAAGGGAGAGGCTTTAAGGAAGCCCAGATAAAGCAGAGTTTAAAACTGAGCACTACAGACACCTGTATAATTTGAGTTGGTTTGAATTCCTTAGGAGCCTGTTAATGACCAGGAAACTTGAGTGTTGTGTTTAGCAATGGCACACTGTACTTTATAGTCCCTTAATTTCCCTTGGACAGCTGGGTATGCGAGAGAAATAGGGACTGCTGCCTGTGCCTACTGTCCTGTCCATCTTCTCAGATACAGCAGCAGACAGAGGTACTTGTAATTGCCATGTAATGCCTGAGTCTTTCTTATGTTATGTTTGTAAAGCAAATTCCTCTTATTTCCTCAGGTTTTTCAGATTGCATATAAACTTTCCACTTATATCATTTTATACATCAGATTTATAAAAAATTAATACATTTGCTAATGAATGTAGTATTAATTTTTAGAAGTATGTAACAGGCTCCAGAATTCAATGCACCTGGCACATAATAATGTTACATTAATACTTGTTCAATAAAAGAATAAATAAAATGCTTGTACATTATTGAGTCTTCTAAGATAATTATGATAATTTAAGGAAAACAAATTACAGATATGAACTTGCATTTGCTAACATTAACTTCTTTTAGAAAATTTAGTATTACCAATATTTTGAAAAATTAAGTATTTTTCCCAAATTAAAGACTTACGTGATATAGTAAATAGCTATTTTGGTTTGACAATTAAGACGCTTGTATGTCTAAGGCACTAGAAACATGGGGAAGGAAGAGATTGGAACGATGACGTGTGTACTCAGTGAGGCAGCAGTACCAGAGTGGAACGCGTCACTGGACGGAGCTTTCTCCCTCTCACATGGACTTCCTAAACACGTATAATCTCTCAGCCTCATACTGTAAAATTATTATTTTATAGCTGTTTTTCTTGAACATATAAGTAAATCAACATTATATTTGTTTGCTCTCTGAATAATAGGGTTAAGATAAATGTATTCCTTTATCTAAATGTGTTGATAAGTTATAAACCTTTTTTAAGTGTTTTAGCATACAATGAAAAGACAACTTTTTATTTTGTCTGAAGTAGTTTACAAATCTTTTCAAAGTATTACAAAATGAAAGGAATTTTAAAATCAACATTATTGATCCATGAGTCATGCTAATGATTGCTCATGTAAATAGCACAAAATACTAATTCGTGTGGTTGGTGAAGTTTTGGTACTTTAATTTCCTCTGTTATTGTAAACCACGCATAAAATGCTTGCCTATTGAGAAGTGCGGAATTGCCAGGGCTTAAACAGCTGACATCTGCTTACTCTCTTAAAAAAAAAAAAAGAATAACAAGCCATTTCAGCCTAATCTACCTCAAATGTGCTCATGTAAATGGAGGTCCATCTATTGACCTGTGTTCTTTTCAGCTCAGGATTGGTCCACATGGTTTATGAAACCAGAAAGGCTGATTTGAAATGCAGATGTCGAGAGAGCGAAGCACACCCTCCCCTTTTCTCTTTGCTGTATCTGTCAGGGTGAAGGATGGCGAGCCCCAGGGTCAGTCACCCATACTCACTTAATTACTCTTCTTGGACCCACAGAACTGTCACAAGCTGTGGTGGATGCAGGAGCTGTTCCTCTTTTAGTTCTCTGTATTCAAGAGCCAGAAATTGCTTTGAAAAGGATTGCTGCCTCGGCCCTCAGTGATATTTCAAAGCACTCCCCAGAGCTGGCGCAGATGGTGGTGGACATGGGGGCTATTGCTCACTTAGCACAGATGATCCTCAACCCTGATGAGAAACTGAAGGTATTTACAACCGAGGTCGAGAGACAACAGACAAGAGCGTCCTTACAGACCAAGAAGTGGAGATGGGTGTAGACTAATGTGGAGAAAAACAATTAGCAAACACGTGGCAGTAATGCTCTGGGTGCCACATTCAAGATGGTTAGAAATCTGTGTGATGCTGAACATTCCAGGTAGTGTCAACATAAATTAGTCAACGTTAGCATTGACGTTAATAATTAAAATAAGCCAAAAAATGTTGGTCTGCCCAAAATAATTTGCTTGGGAGAGCCTTAGACTGAAAACAAGGACTTAAAGGTTTTCTAGCCCACATCACTAGAATGTTTACATTTCTGATGAAAATTGTCATGTTTATTGGTTCCCCTGGTAGCTTTCTATATTCACCAGAAACACAGCTATATATGTATAGTTTTTAAATTGTTGATGTTAGCTAAGTGATGGGAAGTTACTTGAGAAGGTACCAATATCATGCCCTGAAGACATTACTTCTGCCTGTTATGGCACTACATACCACACATCATAAATTAGCAACCTATGGATGTGTAATTAAGAAGTGATATTTACCTAAAGGTCCTATATTTTAATTACCCGTAAAAGCTTTTAAAGTACTCAGGAGAGAACTAATGGGGAAGTCAAAAATCATTGAGTTTGTAACGAAGCTGTGACAGTCCCAAGGCTTGGACATCTTAGGATATGCAAAGTATCCACACAGCTCCTTTCTGCTCATAAAGAAATTAGAATATCACAAAACTAAGTTACATCGACACTCTGACGTGTACCCTCTGATGTTTTGTTCTACTTACTATTTATTTCTTTATTTTGCTTATCAGCAACAGGTCCTCTCAGCTCTGAGTCATATTGCTAAGCACTCTGTGGATCTGGCGGAGATGGTTGTTGAAGCAGAGATTTTCCCAGTTGTGCTTACATGTCTGAAGGAGAAGGATGAATACGTGAAGAAAAACGCTTGCACTTTAATTAGAGAGATTGCAAAGCATACACCCGAGGTAAAAGCAAAGCAAAACAACAAAAAGCAGGCTTCGGGACGCACTTAGCTTCAGTTTTTCGAATAAAACACCAACTTGTGTGTGGGGCTTGAGGCTTGCTCCATGAACTCTGACGAGGTCACTGCCCCTCCTCCGCACTGCAGACATTTTGGATGATGTGACTGTCTGTACATGGTAGAATGGATGTTCACCAGTGTCCCTAGGCTCTGACCACTTGGTGCCATCAGGGCCCCTCCCTCAAAGGTATTGACAATAAAAACTGACTTCAAACATTGTCAAACATTCTCTAGGGTTCAAAATCACCTCCATTTGAGAACCACTGAATTGTATTAATGACGTTTGAGTTTGGAATCCAGTTTCTAATTATTGCTAGCTTTCCATTTCTAGATTATGGGGAGACTATCATGACTGCTGGGAGCAGAGAGAATGCTATCTCATCTGCAGGTTGCGACCATCCGCAGCAGCTCCCTGGCTCCCCGGTGTCCTGGGGCACCCAGATAGCCAGCTATTGTAATGGGATTTTCTGCTCTGACTTTTTGGATGGAAAGAAAGAGAGACAAAGCAAGCCTATGCTGATTTTAAAGTTTTCTTTTTCCTGTGTGTACTTTGACTAACCTATTTTCCATTTCATTACATGTTAAAGTCCTCATTCTTATTTCATCTGATGTCTTTACATAGACAAGATTTTCCAGAACTGAAGTGTGCCCAGTTAGTATGTGGTAATTAGGCCAGTCATCAAGTCTGATGTCTTTGGACACTGACTTATTTTCATGCTCAGGCACTGTGGCCACATACTTCTGTGCTTAGCCAGGTATGAACTAGTCCTCGCTTTAGTGCTTAAATGAGGAATTTTGAAATTTGTTACAAAAGGAAGAAAAATTGTGTAACTTTTGTAAAGCACAGAATAAGCTTTTCCACTGTGAATATTTGGGCATTTGGAATAGTGGGATTATTCTCCCTGGACATTTCTTTCATAAATGCAGTACTCTCTTTGAACAGTATTTCACTTTGACCAGGCATTTTTAAGCACTAAATAAAGTGTTGTCAGTCATGCTAAAGACCATCTTGTACTGTCTGAGGCCTTCTGCTTTTCTTTCAGCTTTCACAGCTCATTGTTAATGCCGGGGCCGTGGCCGCAGTCATCGACTGCATTGGGTCCTGCAGAGGGAACATCAGGCTGCCGGGCATCATGATGCTGGGGTACGTGGCCGCTCATTCAGAGAACCTGGCTATGGCCGTGATCATCTCCAAGGTGGGCGCTGCTTCATTTCTTCTAGGTACTGTAGTAGGCTGTTCCAAGATAGAACCTCAGGCTGATACCAGAATAGCAAACATAACTGGACATGGTAAAAGAGTCGCCTAACTTCGTTCAACTGTTTTACTTATGTCAGTGTTTATTAGTATGTTTTCCAGGGGGATTTTTGGCGAAAGGTGTGGATTACAAAGTAGGTAAAGCTTTCTATATCAATTATAGACTTCTTTAAGCAATACTATAATCTTTCTTTAAATATTACATATATGTATATCTTGAAGGATTAATTGTGTATACTTAAAAATACTCTAGCTCTGCCCATTTATCTCTTTCGCACAGCTCAGAGTCTGTGTGCTCCTCTGTTCGCGTTATCTGATGAGGAGGAGGTGCTGGCCAGCTCTCTCTTCAGATGCAGTCAGGCATTCAGAGGGCACAGTGGACGGAGGCAGTATTTCTGTTGTTTCATCCTCTGGAGATTTTGCCTTTTTTCAATTTACAGCTTTGTATGAACTCACTCTATAGTGTAGCCTTGGCCCATAGTAGGTGCTCACAAAATATGTTGGTGTATAGATAGGGGATTCTGGAAGACCACATCAAACACTGTGCTCAGACTGTGTGTGGCAGCCCTCTAGGGGGTAGGGTTCTTATCAGCATTGAAAACCTGCTGCTGTTTGTTAAACAGAAATGGGGATATTTTCCCCCTTGCTAATCCGCAGAATACAGAGGAGCCCAGATCTTGATTTTCCACCTCCGCCACAGTGAGTCTCCGAATCTCCGCCATGCCGAGCACTCTCTAGCCTGCTTCTCTTTTGTTCTGTTACTGCAGACTACTGCAATGGCCAGGGCAATCCTGGTGCTTTTGGAGGGGTCCTCAGGGATGGGCCTGGGCTTTCGAGCCCTGGCTCCTTTGTCAGGAAGACACCTCATCAGAGGAGTGAAGAGAGCAGCTGCAGTTTGTTTCGCACCTACACACCTGGCCAGAGCGCCCCTCCCCTTCTTTGGTGGAGGCCTGAGCCAATCTCTCCCACTCCCACTGGTTTGGTTTTCAGTTCCCTGAGAACCGAGTTGGCATCAGGAGTCTGAGGCAAAGCACACAGCAATGAGGCGTTTTCTCCTGTCCTCTGAGGTGCTCAGGAAGCAGCTGATAATGTCTACCATTTATGGCTCTCTGTCACCTCTGAAAGACACTTAAGCTCTGGGTCTCCGGATCTGGGCCAGTGATGTGAGCTGGAGCTCGGGATGAGAAGCAAGGGCCACCTGCTGCTCTTCTCTTTCTCCCCTCTTCCTCAATCTACATCCTACAAGCGTGGCTTCTCTTCAAAGTCTGGCCTATTATACTGTGGACATAACCTTTTTAGTGCTAGAAAAGGAGCAGATCCAGAAACATGGTGAGTTTTGGAAACTGATCCAAAAAATAAGGAAAGAAAAAAGAAAGAAAGAGAGAGAAAGAAAGAACAGATGAAGAGGTTTTGGGGACTGCATGTGGGATAGTCCTGGCCTTTGCTGTGGCAGCACTAACATGTAATAACAGTCCTGATCATACTACATTTGAAATAATTACTATTGTCTCCAATTAGTTACAAAATTATGCCTTATACACAACTTTTATTTTATCAATAGAAAAATTGATGTTTATTTGATTTTTTTCCTTAGGTTTACAAACTGTTTTTTGAGGGTATTTGATGATGTTTTAATTATTTAAACAAAATTAGAGTCTAAAATGCAAAATGTACACATAAGCTACCCATGTAGCAAAAGAACCTGGCTGTACTTGGGTATACAAATGAGCAGAACTATCATCATAAAGGCCGCCCACATGACTGCAAACGTATGTGGTATTTCAGGGAAGACAGTTGAATACGGTCCATGTGAAAGGCGCGTAGAGTGAACTGGTGCTTATACTCCTCTGGTTTTTAGTTTGTAGTAGTTATTTTATTTTCAGATTTACTATATTTGGGATATGTGTGTTCCTGAGGATTAAACTGAGGGCTAGCCCTGGTCTTAACTTTCTAAACAATGGAAAATAAAGTTTTAAGATTTTGGTTTGTCACAATGGGATTTGGTTTTGCCTGTTCTGAGACACCTATCTCTGTTGTTTGCATAAATGTTCTTCTATTTGGGGGTAGAAGCTAGTAGAGACATTTTTATTTAAGTTAGGCTGTTACAGGTAATTAAGGTGATTTAGTTCTAGTCATTTTATTGACTTAAGAAATGACTGCCCTTGTGATGTGTGCATTTATTGAACCATTTAGAGGAAAAAAAGAGATCAAGACTAAATCTTCTGATGCCTGAGACACACAGAGGACTCTAATCTGCTCTAGATTTATCCACTTGCTCTCCCCACTGCAGGGTGTCCCCCCGTTGTCGGCCTGCCTGTCGGAAGACCTGGAGGATCATATTAAGGCTGCGGCTGCCTGGGCTCTTGGACAGGTGGGGAGGCACACCCCAGAGCACGCCCGGGCTGTCGCCATCACAAACGTCTTGCCGGTGCTGCTGGCCTTGTACATGTCCACAGAGAGCTCCGAGGACCTGCAGATGAAAGTGAGCATGCTTAACAGGGTTAGGGAGGCTGGGCAGACACTCACACAGTCTTAAAATATGTGGGTTAAATATTTTGATTTTCCTGATGGACTGTGTTGCCTTTTGAGTCAAGAAATACAAGTTTGTCAGAAGAATGAGGTATCTTACCTTTGAAAACCGGTTAGTGACCCTTGTCTCCACGGCTAGTGATATATTTTCAAGGATGTTTTATACAGATAAAAACTTAGTTGTAAAGTGAATATTACGGTTTTGCATTCTATATAGCTGTTGACATTTTTCTATGAAATAAAGATGAAAGAATAACAGAATTTTTGAATTTGGGCTTTCTGGAGAGTACTCTGTTTTACAGTAAGAAACAGAATCCAAAAGAATTGAAGTTGCTTTTCAAAGGTATAACTAAAGAATATTCCTAAAGCTTTATTTCTCCCAATCTCAAGGATATCAGTGTCTTATTTCTTTTTAAAATGTTTAAGATTCACTAAATTAAACATTTTTGAATCATGTATTTAAAAAGGGCAAATTATAAAAAAATTACTGTCAAGGTGCTTCATGAAGCATGCACATAAGTTAGGATGGACTACCTAATAATCCTATAATTTCAAAGAAGCATAGCCTAGCATACACATTAGGAAAATACAGATGTCTCTGAACTGACGTGGGAGAAGTTTACAGCAAAGACAATAATTCACCATGGGATGAGCCCGGCCTGCCTGATGGCTTAGTGGGCACAGGTGATCACTGCGACCTGGAGACCCCAGTTTCATCCCTCACAGGGCAGAGGAGAGACTCCGACTCAGGCCAAGCCACCCACTGACCTCCATCCACTTGCTGCAGGCACACACTCACCACCCCACCACAAACAAATGAATAAGTGTAATTAAAACCAAAATCAAAGTAATAGTAAAGTACATCAAAATTGAATTAAGTGGTAAATTAATGAATAGTAACACATGTACTGAAATGTAACTTTGGATGACAAGGTAGGACATTTCCTTTTATAAAGTTTATGAAAATGAGTTTCTTTATTTGACTGTGTTCACACGCTAGTTTTCTGCGAATTAATTTCTAAGAGTAAGACTTTCCAAGTTGTAAGACTTTTCAAATCAGTGGTGCACACCTTTAATCCCAGCACTTGGAGGCAGAGGCAGGCGGCTCTCTGTGAGTTCAAGGCCAGGACAGCTAGGACAACAAGAGAAAGCCTGTCTTAAAAACCAAAACCAAACCAAACCAAAACCAAACCAAACCAAACCAAACCAAACCAAACCAAACCAAACCAAACCAAACCAAAC